GGGCAAATTAATGTCAGAAGTGATTGCAGTCTGTTGTGTATTTTATCTAACTTTTCTGGTGGATGGGTCCGTCTACATTTTTGTCTCCGTAATGATGTAATTACTTTGCTTGGAGTGTTTCACAGTTTGTATTAAGCCTAACTATCTCCGTGGAAATAAGCAGGAGATGCCACCAGACCAAGATACAGGTCAGATCTGTGTAAAGGATGGCCCGCTGACTGTAGACATGCTTGTTGATTGAGCAATAAAAACACCAATAATTGAATGAATGGAAGATGGATACATTTAATACCAAACTGTGAAATATTTCAGCTGAAGTAATACCATCTCCTTGGAGGCAAGCAGGCAGCGGACCCTCTATTCGAAAAATTACGCAATGCAACTTAAAGAACATATTTTATGCAATTTTTATTTTTTGTGTGCCTTTTACCATGTTAAAGTATTACTGATATGAAGCAAAATCAACTGCAAGCATGTTTTTAATGAGGTTGCAATCTTATCTCAGACCACAGTAGTACAGGGGCTAGTGTGCCGAAATCTCCAAAAGACACACAATAAGTGACATCATTTGAGACTTGTCGAGATCCACACTATTGGAAATCCATCACTCACGGGTACACTGTCTTCACTTCTAAAGCATTCACAATCATTATTTCATTTTTCTGTGCAAACTTTGTCTTCCTGCTGAGTTTGGTGTTGATTTTCCCCTTTTTTCACTTTGTTCAAAACCTCCTACCAGGAGTATAAAGGAACTGTTGTGGATAAGACGAGTGCAGCTGTCTTTATGGTAATTACAGTTTAGTTGTCATTTAGCATTTGCAGATTGGCTTTTTTATTGTTGGGGCTATGACTTTTCAAAAGATATTTCAAGCTTTATGACCCTGTTGTCCCTGTTGGCAGCCTTGTGTTAATTGTGTTTCGCTCAAGAAGAAATCCACAACAATTTATTGCACAATATTTAACAGGCCTAATTTATGTTTGTGAAAATCTAATGTAATAAGTAAGGATGCACTGATCTGATACTGGTATCAGGATATCTGCAGCAATACTGAAAAAAATGCTGGATCAGATATTGGATTCCAGATATTCCAGTTCAGGGAATATCCCGGCTGGACATATAAACTGACAAATGACAAATATGTATCTCGCACTCACACATGCACAACCAAACCGGGCCACGGCTGATGACATCATCACTCTGCGCTGTTTGTTTACATGTAGCGCAGCAGAGCTAATGCTTTTAGCTGAGAAAATAAGTCCAGGGGTAGAATAACTATTAAATAGGGAGGCAGATATGAGTCTTGCTCTTATACCCGCTCCTCCGTGAGTTTATGGATATAAAAACAGGTCAGAGGAGTGAGGACAGCCAGAGACCAGGACAGGAGGAGGGAGGAGTGAGAACAGCCAGAGACAAGGACAGGATGAGCAGTGAGGACAGGAGGAGACAAGGACAGGAGGAGGGGTGAGAACAGCTGGAGATGAGGACAGGAGGACGATTGTGGACAGCTGGAGATGACGGTTGCAAAACTTTTGTCTCTGTCAAAGTCCTTATTAAAGGTCAGTAGGGATTCACTGTATGTTGTAGAGCAGACTTTATTCACTGTTTTCCATATATAAGTAACATCAGCACATCTGACAGGGACCATATAGTGAAGTTGTGCGTGAAGCCATGCTTTGGCCCACCTCCTCTAACCGGGCCAAAGTCCCTGCCGTGCAAGGTTCGATTGCGCTCACACTGGACAAACGTACTGCACTTTAAGGGCTATCCGTGCATGAGCACGGTTCTTAAGTCCTAATATAAGTGCACCCTAAATCCTTTGATTATATGAATTTGAAAACCATTTGAGACACAAATCGAAATCAGGATCAAAATTCAATTACTTGCACAGCCTTAGCCCAGAATGTCTCATAAAAAAATGTCTCATAGAATTTTTCTATACAAGCTGTTCTGTAGTTACTTGAGGGATAAATAAATATAAATAACCACTGCATAACACATTTGGATCAGTTTTGTCTTAATTGTTTTGAGAACATGAATACGTTTTTAGTTGCTAAACTGGTATCTGTTAATATAATATTTTGGCATACACTTATGTAAAGCTCTCGTATCGGAATCAGTATTGGAACTGAAAAAGCTGGATTGGTGCATCCTCAGTAATAATGCACATTTACACTTTTAAAATGATCAAATTTAACTTTTGTAGATATTTTTTGTTGTGTCTTATAAAAATATGCAATAATTCATACTGAGACACAGACTTAGACTTAGAATTTATTTATTTTATTTTTTTATATATATATTTTTTAACACTAGCTTTGTAATTTGTAGGAGTACACAGTCGTGGTAGTAGCTATATTTTTGTAGTCACAGCTGCCCTGGGGTTGACTGACGGAAGGGAGGCTGCCAATCGGCTCCTCGAACCACCAACACTTACATCACATTTATATAAGCAGGGTAAGAGTAGTGCATTGCCTAAGGACACAACAGCTGTTTTCATTAGAGTATTGCACCTGTTGTTCCCTGCAGTTTCCCACTCAAGTAACCACATCTGGCCTTTTTTAGATGTAAAGATTAGTCAACATCAGGCACTGAAAAGGACTTTTGGCCACATGAAAGAACAGAATTGTAAAGGGTCCATTTTACACTATTCTCTGATCTCAGTTATCCTGTTTCCTCATCACAAACATCCCTGGAGTTGTGTTTTGTTTCATTCACACATTTTAAGAGAAACCTTGCATATTTTGGCTGAGTGGGATCATTTTGGAAGAATGAAACAAAACACAGCTCCAGGTAATCCAGGTGTTTTTGAGGAGGTAACAACATTATAAAGTGGTTTAAAGCTCACAAGAGTCAGCTTTGGGTAATATAGGACCTTTAAGACACATTTAAATGCAAATTAGTCAGAACATTTTCTAACCAGAATAGAACAGCTGCAATAGGACCTGTTTACTGTATCATTAAAAAAAAAAGAGAAAACAATTACATATTAGCAGCGGTACACTTTATTACAGCTGAAATAAGATTCATAGATACAGGTTATCTGCTCTTCAGGAACAAATTGAATTCAAAAGCAGAAAGCCTCCTGGATTCAAAGCCATTATGCCGTCCATGCCTCTTCTCAGGGGAATCTCTCAATTTCAATTTTCTTTCAAACTTAAGGCACAAACATTACACTCCACTTCCCCCATCCCCATTGTCACCATTTGGACTGTTATTGCCGAGTTCTTCAGCAGTGTCATGCTTCTAGGCTCTGGATTTCCAATAAGCGTCTGTGTCACTGAACTGTATGAAAAATGAATGATGGTCACTGGTTTGATTTTCAACTGTCACCTTTATTGTCTCAAACTTTTTCATAAAGTTTTCCAGAACATTTTAGCCGTAGAATCAAGCAATGTGCTGAGGAATTCTTACAAAAGACAATCATACTTAAGTTTTGGCTCAAGTTTCATTTGGGTTGTACTATGGCAAATGAGTGTTTCTGTCCCTATGAGCTGGGCTAGCTGACTCAAAATCTCTATAATGATTGACTGATTGATTGATTGCATTTACATAGTGCCTTTCAAGATACCCAAAGCGATTTAAAGTTCATTATTCAGCCACTCCACACTCAGTGGTGGAAAGCTACTATTGTATCACAGCTGCCCTGGGGCAGACTGACTGAAGCGAGGCAGCCAATCTGCGCCATCAGCCAGTCCGACTACCACCATCACTCACGCACACATCACTTTCATACTAGGCAAAGTGCCTTGCCTAAGGACACAATGACAGTTTTTTTGCTGGTGGCCTCCCATCCAAGTACTAACCAGGCCCAGCCTGCTTAGCTTCTGAGATCTGACAGGCTCAGGCTTTGACTAGCTGGTATGGCCACTAATGATGTAATGAGTAGAATATAAGCTATTCATTGATAGACTTTCAGAGTAAGAACAATGCATCTGTACTTTCTTGTAAATGACTGAATGTATTAATGCTGTGAACAAAAATATGTGAAATACTCAAACCATATCACTATGAAATTATAGGTTCTTACAATCTGATCAGTGCTTTGCAAACTCTTGGCATTCCAGCAATGAACCCTTAGCCAAGCTGGCACCACCTTGGGTCTCCACTCAATTTCATTTCTCTCGCGACTTGGTCAGGAATGAGAATACACTAGATGGTTTGCAAGAACTCCGGAAATGTGAGTCCGGGCACCAGCCAATCAGCGAAGAGCCAGACATTCTGTGTTGGCAACGATTCCCGAGATCGAAGATTTAAAGCCGGAACAAAGACAATGTTTTGGAGAATTTTATCAGTGGGAAAGATGTTATTGCTCTTCTTCCTACAGGATTTGAGAAAAGCATAATACACCAGTTAGCCCTGTTAGCGGCACATTACATACCTAATGACCAAATAGCAACGATTGGTAAAATTTTTATTTATTACCCGCCTACCGTCGAGCGAACAAATTCAAATGAAACTGGCTTATGAATCAGGCTAATGAACCCTGACAAGGTACAGTGAAAACCATTTCAGGGACGTCTTTATGAATCTCACTGTGAGAAGGCCAATAAGGATTTGCAATGCTGTTGACAAAGCAGAGGGTGACTACTTTGTGGAACCTGAATCTATTTTTTTTATTATTTTTTTTTTTTTTTACTTCAGATATTTATTTATTTTGTATCTACATTGTAGAAAGTAGTCAACATTTTTTATTGTAAGCAGAGCTGTTTCTCCACAGATCTTATCTGTTACTTGGCCTGGTGGTATCACCTGCTTACCTCTATGAAGACAGTTTAATGCCATATTATGGAACATTGCAAGCAAACAAATGTCTACATGGAGACAAGAAATATCAGACCCACCAGAAAAATTTCATCTTTTACATATCTTGTTCCTTGTTTCACTGTTTAAAAAGTCAGTCACCCCAGCTTTAATATTGCAGTATCTGAATTTCTATTTATTTCCTGATACTGTATATCCTTGCTTATCATTCTTTTTCCAATTTCCTTCTCTCTTACAGAACCCTCTCCATTTCCAAGTGGCCATGCGTACATTCGAGGCCCCCCCCTCGCGCCTGCTCTACTCCCTGCTCATGATGAACGGCTGGTGGGACATCAGCGTGCTTCTCTGCCAGGACTGGAACATCCGCGACTTCCTCCTCCTCATCAAGAACAACACGCGATTCCATCTGGGCACGTTGGTCAACCTCACCACCACCACTTTGGGCTTGTCCTCACTATCGCCATCTGGTGGAGCAGAGCAGCCATCGTCTCTATCGTCTGTGCCATATTTTGTTTCGTCTGCTGCTGCTGCTGCTGCTGCTGCTTCTTCTGCTACCACTTCCACTGCTTCACCTCTTAAGTCAGACCCGCAGCAAGTCGTCATGAAACTACTGGATGCGCTGAGAGAGACGTCGACCACAATGGCAGTGGTAACTTTCGGTTGCGATATCAGGGAAGTACGGAGAATTTGGACGATCGCGACGAAGATGATGCTCCCAGACTACCACTGGGTGCTGGGGGACAGTCAGAATGTGGCGGAGCTAAGGACGGAGGGGTTGCCATTGGGATTATTAGCTCACGGGGTCATGGGGTCACCCACTTTGGATCATTACGTACAGGATTCGCTGGAGGTGGTAGCGAGGGCGGTTGGAAGCGCAGCCATGCAAAATCCCGCCTTGGCGCTTATACCTGGAACTACGAACTGTATGGATGTACGGCAAGCGAGCAATGGGAGTTCGGGGGAGTACTTGTCAAGGTAAGGTGGTTTTCTTTAATGTGTGTTATTGGTGTTGTATTGCTCTTTTGTTTCGAGCTAGTTGGGTAGAGGGCCAAATGCGTCTTCCAGGTGAATTGGCCCATATTAACTTAAGCAGTGAGAAAGGTTTGGACTCCATTGGAATTTAAGATCATTCACACGGTGGGATACATATGATCAGCTGTGGCAACCTAAGACCAAGTTTGCTAAAGTTGCTCCTGTCTTGAAAGTCCCAGCAAGAGTAACCTATTCTCTTGACAGGTGCGCCCTTCTCTTGGGTGGCACACGGGTAACTGCTGTGTCCAGGAGAGGGGGGACATTGTTGCCAGCCTTTAGTAGGTCGCGTCACGAACTGTGATGTATTGAGTTAGAAAGTCAGAATTCTATATCATGATAAAATGAAATATGAATGTAGCGAGACGAAATGTCGGGCTTGGTTTATGTCATTTTACAGATTTTCCCAAAGCAGCATACATTTTTTTCAGTATGTAGTATCAATATAATCATGTTCCCCATGTTCTATAGCAAATGTAACTGTTGATTTGTGAAGAAATATTAATTATTCCTTTACCTGCTGCGATGAACATAATCAACTCATGTCAGGTGTCATGTCATGCAACAGGGGATAAAAGCAGGGTGCTCATCCTTCCCAAATCAGAATACTTGCTTATACCCAACAAGAACAAATTTGTTGAGATATATTGTAACTTGCATGTGTTTTTTTTTTTAAATATGCATATAGATTAACTAATTTATAAAGGGTTCAATTCAGGGGACTTTCCAGCCTGGGGGATTCTCCATCTTGGGGACCTTCTAGCCAGTAGGACTTTCCAGGTAATTTCTGCTATCAGACTCTAGGCTTCATGTGCCGGTAAAGTAATTGTAGTTTTACGGATTTAGTTGAAACTAGCACTACATGCTTGCAGTGTCTTTGCAATTGTCAAAGTTGGTAAATGAAAGTGACAAGTGGAAATCAGGTCCCAGTTCATGGCTGAGTTCTTTTACTGTTGCTGTGAAGGAGAGCTTGAGTTTACTGTTTGTCACATGTTTGAGAGAAATTGTAGACGCAGTGAGAGGAAGGCTCGCTCTGAGACCAAGAAATATCAGACAATACAGTGATGGAAAGTGTTATTGACAGTACACACTTTTCAGATGGTTACAGGAGTTTGAAAAGGGATTTCAACAGCAAAATCTAATGTGATATCTTCTGGATTGTGATGATGAGGAACAAAACAGGAAAAAAATCACAAATCTAGCAAAAGAAAGATTTAAGACAAAATGGAGAAGACTGAAAGCCATATTTTAACCTAATCTTTTAAATTCTACACTACTGATAAAGGCCTGGATTTGAGGTATTTCAGAATTCTTTTGTGCATGCAAACGCACACCAATAATCAGATCACTGGTTCTAATTAATCTAGTTATCTGATATCTAAACAAGACACCACTGGCCGATTAATCGACAAAATGACTCCAGATCTAAAGCACATACGTTTTCAAGTCACCCAGAGAACGGGAGCAGTGTTGACGTCCATCACCTAAAATCTGACCTTTTATTTTAAAGGTAGAGGACACAGGAGTGGTATGGCTTTGGGCAGAAACACAGTAGTGACAGATGTGTGAAGTTGATAGTAACATGTACTCCACAAATACAGAATGACCCTTTAATTTTATTGAAGGTCCTTTATCATGCAGAATTGACTCTTGTGAGATTTATACCTTGTTAGAATGTTGTTGCCTCCTCAAAAACAAATCTGGAGTTGTGTTTTACTTCATTCGCACATCTGTCTACTAGGGGTGTAACAATATCCAAGTCTCACAATATGATATCGTCACAGTATTAACCTCACAGTACAACATTTATTGTGATATCATGGGAAAGCTCATGATATGGTGGGGAGGCTCACGATATTTTACGATATTATACATAATAACAAGACAGACATTATAAAATGCTTTGAGCAGTCATTTGGTACATTTATTGCCATATTCATATCAATGACATTTTGAACAGTTTGAAAAGCCTTTGAAGTTGAAGTGCAAAATTCAAGTAACAACTAAACTAATAAAACTGTAGTCAGAAGCCTCGCGGAGTAAGTCCAAGAGAAGCTGACCTCGTCAGCGCGCAAGGAGTGAACTGTTTTTATTCAGCGCTTATGCAAATGAGTCATGTGGCTTTAAGTTCCGTGTCTGTAAAATGTGAACAAAGCTGCGCAAAGCTGCATTAAACAAATTATTACAAACTTAAATGCAATGGCATTTTATATTTCGGCTCCAGTTCAGCCACTCACCTTTTAAACCCAATGCCGTCCACCCTGGAAAATGGTTCACATGTTCTAACTATAATATTAGTGATAATATAATTTCTAAAAAGAACATTTCTTCTTTGAAGCTTTGTCATAGTGGAGTTTTAGCTTATCTTTTGACCTATATAGTGTGAATTATAAAAAAAAAAATTCTATATACTAGCAATATTATTCATATCCTGCGGCCATATGCTGTGTAATTTTGTATTCCGCTCACACTATATAAATACGCATACGCATAATGTTGTCATTGATGCTTTGCCTTGGTTGAACTGGACCTCTGAATACACTGTGTGCTTTAGACATATTCAGTACAAAGAGTGGCTCAAGGCTCAAGAGAACAGTGGGCTGTGCAACACTGAAATTGACTTTTTTTTTCATCTGAAATCACTGCCTTATTTTTCTGGAACATTTTGTTTTTAATTGTAGATCTCAGAATCCACTGTTTTAAAGGAGCTCTTTTCAATGGCCTAGAAAATGGTTTTGTGTAATTTTACAAACCTTTCTGTTAACAATTTGCTCGAAGCTTCAATCACTAGTTTATTTATAGGTGCACTATAACTTTTCTGATGAAGGTTCCTCCACCTGCTTGTCTCCATGGAGATGTTATTGGTGTGACTCTGATATTCCACAGCATGATAATATTTTTGTATTTGTAACAGGGACAATACATTAATTTATATTTTTAGATATAAATTAAGTTTATAGCTAATGCAACTAACTTCCATCATCAGTCCTTTGGCAGGTTTAAACTTATCTTTCACTTATTTGATTACAGATCAGTTTATTGCTTAAAAGAAAGGGAAAGGGAAAAAAAGCGATACCGAAAAACATGCATTCTTACTGTCAGCTCTTCACAGATCTGACCCGTACTTTGCACTGCTGATGTCACCTGCTCATCCTTGGACATAAAGAAGTTTAACTTTTGTTAATTGTGGAACGTTCCAGGCAAGGTGTCCGACACTTCTCCGTAACAGTTGCACAGTGCACCTTTAAATCTGCTTGCAATGGCCATTTGGAAATATTAAAATGTATGATCCAGATGTCACAAGTACAAGATAATGCATTTCTACAGTCTAGAATTTGAAACTTGTTTGAGTTTTCTGTGTTCAAAATGAGTCAGCTTGCATTCATTTTCTATTTACACCATCATTTGAGCACAGCATGGTTTTCTTTGTTACCTTACAAGTAAAGAACACACTAGACATTTTCAGACTAAACGTTTTCTGGGTGTTGCAATTCTGTGGGTTAGGTAAAACATTTCGACAGACTTTCACCATTCTTTCTGCTATGTATTCTGAGCTCATACAACCAGAGGAAAAAGCTCCACTTGCTCGTTTTGCCTGTTGTAGAGAATGTAGCCCACAGTAGATTTTGGCCTTGCTGGGTCTTTCCAGTATCTTCTGTGGGTGGTTACACAAAAGCACTGTTCATGGTTTGGAGAAGTATGGATCTTGGAAGGAACAAGGAGAGAGTAACAATAGCACATGCTGGCTTCTTTAAAAATGAATCATAACTGCATGGACTATTTCAGTGTAGGGCTCACCTTTAGATGAAAATAATATCAACATGTTTACAGTATATTTGATACTAGTAGATACTATGGTTGTCAATAGTATACATGTAAATATAGTGTAAAAAAAAAAAAGATACTAATTGACACTAAAACTGCTGTAGTATTGAATCTAGATACTCATTTGAGCAAGTGTCCATAAGGAAAAGGTCACATTAGCAGGACATAAATGAACCTTTCTTGAATGGCTTTTGTATCATTGTAAGCTGTATCAGAACAAGTACAAGAGCACATAGACTCTTATACACCCATGGATCAGTATGGAAACTACCTGGATGACGTTGGTTACCAAATCAACATGTTTCAATATCCGAGAACTTTAGAAACTTCAAGACAATGTCCCATCTCATCACCAGAGTGGAGTAAGAGGCTTAGAAGAATTTTTTCCTTTTGTCCTGAGAGCTGTTAATTGGTCTGACCCTGGATCTGATGACTGTACCTATTGAGCTCCACAGAGACTTTTGTATGAGGTTTCTGTTATTTTTGTATTTTACCACTCAATGTGCTTTAATTTCCTGACTGAAGGATTACACAGGTATAAGGCCACATTTGAGAGTATTGATTGAGTGTTGAAAATCACATTCTAATGTCTAAAAACAGTCTTTTTTATTGCCATTGGTATCAGGTTTGTTCCTTTGTATCGAAAATTGAAAATTATGTGTCGTGACAACACTACTGCCCCTATTGATTTAATTTCAACCAGAACACAGTTTGGTCATAGCTGAAAAAAATCATTGACTTGAAAATGTGATGCTGTCAAAAAGATCCTGGCTATGAACTTTAAGGTGTACTGTGTAACTTTTCAGTTGGGGGTCCATCAGACACAAATTATATTGATTCATTAATTGATTAATTGAATGATAAATGCCATTAATTGTACCCATACTTGAACCAAATGAGTTCGATATAGACTACAGAGCCGTTGTTAAGCCCCCAGAGAATAGGAGCAGTGTTGACGTGTACTACCTGAAATGTGACCTTTTGTGGTAAAGGTAGAGGACAAAGGGGTGGCATGGCTTTGGGCAGAAACACAGTAGTGACTAAACATGTTCCTATGTGAGCTGCATTGTAACATGTACTGTAAAAGAAAAGGTCAAAATAAGTTGTGACCTTTCTGAGGA